AATTTTTCTTCAGAACTAGAGGAAAAATGGAGCTTGCACTTGAAAATCCATTAGCGAGCTTCGAAGACCAGCAATACGACGGCGTTTCAGCTCTCTTCGCCAATGAATCAGACCACATGCCTTGTCTATTCTCCTTCAAATCTTCAGATGTTCGTTTCTTTATTCGCCGCAATGCCGTCTCACAAATCCATCATGTACATTCAATACCCAGGCAAAAAATTATTACTTTTTACGTTGAAATTTAATTGAATTAGTTGTTTTTATCCGATATTTTTTCCAGGCGCAGCTGTCTTATGGTTTAGATCCGTTTATGGTCTACCTCTCTGTCAATTACATCGATCGATTCCTCTCTAAACAACAAATTCTGGTAATTCGTGTATTTGATTTCGAATTCGGGAGCAGTGCAAAGAATTTGCCATCAGTGTATTTAACTTGATACTAATCCAGGAGAAAAAGCCGTGGATTGCTCGAATTCTGGTAGTTGCATGCCTTTCGCTTGCTGCGAAGATGAGGAACTGCAATTTATCAATTTCACTTTCCGATTTAAAGGTACTTATATTGAATGTAAGTTCATGAGAATCTGGTGTAAGTTACCAATACCAAAATTAACGCGCAATTTCAATGAAAACAGAGTGAAAAATGTTTTGAGTTCGATGCACATTCAATTCAGCGAATGGAGGCAATCGTTTTGGGGGCTCTGGAATGGCGAATGCGATCGATCACACCTTTCTCGTTTCTCCATTATTTCATCTCTCTCTTCGAAATCGACGACTCTTCCTTAACTATGGCTCTCAAACAACGATCTTCATGCATCATCATCAATTTGCAATATGGTAATTCTCTGTTTTTTAGTAAAATAATAACATGCATTCATAGATTGCATTTATGAGCTTCGCAGTGACTAACAATATCGATTCATACTTTCAATTCAGAATTAAAGCTTCTACAGTATAAACCATCAACAATTGCAGCCTCGGCGCTTCTCTGTGCAACTCAGGACTTAATTCCACTGAAGTTTACTTCATTTAAAGACGAAATTTCTTCTTGTGAATACGTAAATCAAGTAAGATAACTATAAATCGTATACTGTTACATGATCTTGTGAACTAGATAAATAGACCAATCGTATTCATATTAATTTAATTTACCATTTTAGCTAATGAGATTAATTTCATTGTGCTATTGCAGGAGAAGTGGTTGGATTGCTTGCGAGCAATGCAAGAGATGTTGACGAATGGTTACAAGTCAAATCTTCATGCATCACCAAGTTGTACGTCGACCCCAGTGAGTGTCCTTGACCTCCAACGTACAAGATCTGAAAGCGATAATGCCACTACATTCAACTCTGTAAACACTGTAATTCTGGACACAGACAGCACCAACAAACGGCGGAGATTGAATGGTTTGTCCGGCAATCGAACGTTCAAGATTTCACAGACTCAGCAGTGTTGAGACACAAGTCAAGCGCTGTACAATTACTTATAAAGTCAGACACATAGTCTACGTTCTTTCTCCAAATATCAACATGTAGAAAAAAAATGTTAAAAAGGGAAGAAAAGGAAAAGGAAAAAAAAAATTCATCTTTATTTATTTTTTATGGTAGACATTACATTTGCATGTGTAATTATGAAATTGTGCAGATACAACCAACATACATGCAACAAAGATTCAAATACAGTTCGAATCAGGATAACGACTACCATTTAATGCCTGGAAAAAATGGATGAATTCTCAGCATATTTACAAGTAAAGTTTATGGAGTCGAGAAATAAAAAAGAAGCATTCACTGCTATTCAGTTCGCCATGTCAAACGTAAATAAAGTCCAACAGATGATACGTTTCAAACACTATCATGATTAAGATAATTATAACAACATGATAAAAGTACAGATTATAGGAAGCACCAATACCAAAAGGGAATTAAAATGCAATATATATGCTACTGAAATTGAATTACGCTGCAAAATCAAGTCTTCGTTGCAGGTCTTACAAGCCCCAGCCCTGAACCACTTCCTAAATGCTTAAAGTCGGTTGCTTCAAGATGATCTCCATGACCGGCAAAACCAGTTCCTCCTTTTTCCAACTTGACCAGATTCCTTTCTTTGCATGGTTTGTTGCAGACTAGGCAAACCTTATCAACAGCCATGAATTTCTCTGCGCATTTCTTGCAGAAAACATGACCACAAGAACTCAAGGCCATAAGTGAGAGTGTATTTGTAAGTGTGACCTTGCAGCTAGGACAGATGTAGCTCTTATCAAGAGAACACACTTTCTTTTGTTCGCTGGTATCTTCTGTGAGGTAGATAGGGAAAAGTGTCTTCATCCTGAGTTTTTCTTTTCCTTCTGGACAGATTGTGTCCGTTGATGGGGCTTCTACTTTTGCAGGAGCTTCTGGAGTTGCAGATGGCAACCAAAATGCTTTCATTGTACGAAGTGCTTCCTCTTCATATGATGTGGCCTTCACACTGTTAGCCCCATGGAAACCATTCTTGTCCCTGTTGAAGTTCTTATCATTGTACTGTGGCACTGCCCCATGGTTCTGTTGATCAAATGCATCAAGATCTCGGGCTTTCTGCAACATCAACTTTTCTTCTTCCTCTTCCTTTTCCTGTTTATGCTGAGCAGCATGGGCTGCTAGCTTTCTGCAAGCAAATGCTTCACACATTTCAGTACAACATCAAGATAAACAGATAAACTAAATGAGGTTTATATCTAATAGAACTCCATAAAAACGTAAATTTCATAGCAGTCACTCAATAATCTTCCCCCTGAACATTGCTGAAAAAAGGGACATAGGATATACAAGTAGCCCTCCCAAATTTAATTCTCTGGTAACTTATAAAACAAATTGCACAAACTACAAAGCCAGTTAAATCATTTGGACACACTAGTTATTTACTGGATTTATCAAGTTGATACACATCATGTTGATGTGGAAAACTTATGCAAGTTTACACAGTAAAATAGGCACAATAATATGGGCACAGAATTTAAAGTTATTTCCGGTAAGGTCCAAAACATATGAAAAAACAATTGTAAGTTCTATAACACCCTACGAAAATGAGCAAACAGCGCATCCAAAATAAAGTTTCCTCTTGATGAATTTAACGTTTCAGGATCATTCTTGAATATAAATGTTGCAAAAACTAAACTTGACATATCAATGGAGTTTTAAGGTCTAATGACAGCAGGGCCATAATAAGTTAGGTCATCACCTAGAGCGAGTGTCAAGAAGGTTGCTTGGGTGGATCTACTCTTTACATATTATGAACGGAACAGCACATGATCTCATGGTTGCAGCCCTGATAACCAGACAACTGTATTAGAATTATGGTTTATCCAGAAATGACATAATGATAAACTACTGCCCAATGTACCTAGTTGAACTCACTCTTCCTAAGACATTCACAATTAAGGGAAAGATTCAGAGCCTGGTCTTAACTGAAAGAGTTCCAGATCAAAAACCCCACATACAATTAAGCTTCTAAGACCTCCTAAACTCAATAAATCCCAGAGTTCAGAAACCCATAATAATTCCGCACATAAACCTTTCCCAGTTAGTCTCAACACATAATCAAAAGATCCAAAACCAATCGAAACATCCAATTAGATGAGTCATATAATTAATTCTCCACAATTTTTTCTTGACCAATTTACAAGTTCATATGGATGTAAAATCCTTATTATTCGCGTAATAACCAAATTGATACGAAATTTGACAGCAGAAGTTACGGAAAAACAAATTCGATAAATCAAATCTATACGAGGGATAAAAATAAAAACAATCAAGGACCTTTGAATATCTTTCTTTTGGGTCAAAAGGCATTCGAGAATGCATTCTTTGCAAAAGACGTGACCTTTCTGGCAAGATAAGGGATCAATAAATGGCTTCAAGCACAGACTGCAAGCATCGAATGGTTTGATCGAGTCCTTGCCGAGTCTTTCTTTCTGTGTACCATAGCCGAGTTTCTTCTTCTCATCATACGTGAAGAATGCTAAATCGTTGTTGTTTTTCGAGTGTCTTTGAGGCATATTTGGAAGACAAATTAACAATCGAGAAGGATTCGATTGGGGAATTTTGGTGTTTGTAGAAACCCTAGGATATTATTATTATTATTATTATTATTTAACAAAGCTTCTTGTACATTAAGGATGCGTTTGATTGAAAGGGTGGAAAATGGATGGAAAGAAAATATTTTATAGGGCAAAGATATTTTTAGAAAATGTTTTACTGTGAATTGTNATTATTATTATTTTTTTTTTAATAAAGCTTTTTGTACATTAAGGGTGCGGGGTGCGTTTGATTGCAAGAATAGAAAATGGATGGAAATAAAATATTTTATTGGGAAAAGATTTGTCTAAAAAATATGTTGTAGGGAAAATGATTTCAAGTGTGTTTGATTGGTATAATTTTCTACTCAAGTGTGTTCGAGTGTTTTTAAAATATTCGTTTGACTTTGTTTTACATAGAAAGTGTTTGTTAAAATGATAATTTTTTTCACAATTGTTATAAA